GCAAGGCTGTTTAATGCTGATCAGTGGGCTTTGGAAAAGCCACACAGCTTTTTGTGGAGACATTTGCATTCCTTTAAAATTAGCACGAGGCTCTGGAGGGAAGACAAAACTCTCATTAACTTGGAAAGGTCGCGATCTTTATTTGTGCTCAGTAACACATTGCGGAACAGCTGGCTGCAGATCGCCTGAGAAGAGGGCTGTTTCCAACAAAACCAGCCTTTAATAGTGGGAAATAATGAGATTTTTTTCCCCGGATCAGCAGGTCTGTGCGTGCTGCCCTCAGCGAGAAGCGGTGCCTTCCTGGGAGCAGTGCCGGTGCTGAACGTGGCCCGTGGGAAGCAGCACTAACGCAGTGCAACCCACGTCTCATTGCTCCAAGGGACTTCAGGTTTGCTGTCCATAAATCATACCCCAAAATTTAATCACCCCTTAAGAAACCAAGGGAAAAAAAAAGTCACAAATCTTGCTGAAGAGCAGAGAGAGGCTCTGCAACTATTATGCCGAAGGGAAAGATTTCTGACAATTAATCAGCAGTTTAAACCTGTTATTTATTCAAGTATCTTTTGGAGCTTTTCCCCTCTGTTTCTTCAACGTGCTCGTGCTGCAAGTTAGCTGATTATTTTTTTTTCAAAATGATCTAAATTTCATGGGGGATCTTGGAAAGGAAAAATATCTTGAAGCAAAAAAGTACAATAGCCCTGAACTTTTCATATAGGCTTGCAAGCCTGCAGCAATTTTAAAAGCTTTCTTATTTCAGCTTAAAGGACAAATGAGCTTCACTCGGAGATTCCTGTTTAACAAGCCTGATTTATTTCCCTCACTAGCCTTCCCTGTTTGCTTCTTGAAATATAGCTGAGAGAGGACTCACATACCTGTGACTCCCAGCATGACCATGCTGCTCAAATGTCTCTCTGTAAAGGAGGAACCATCACACTGTTTTTTAAGGTAACTTCCTAAATATTTGGTAAATAAACTTAGAAACCTCTATTTTCTGACTTCAGCCTACACAAAATTGAGGAGACTTGTTTAAGAAATGCTTGAATGATGCACATTTAGGGATGCATTTAGGTTCCCCCATCTTCTGCTAGGGCAAAAAATTAACCCTCTATGTGTTTTTTGGTTGATTTGGGTTTCTTTACAGAGGAATCCTTTTTATAAGGCTCTGCAGCTGGAAGGGCAGGGTCTGCACAGCCCTGCCGTGAAGGAACACTCAAATGAAACTTCATGACAAGATGAAGAGCAACCTGGCTGCTGTCATTTCTTCTTCAGTCAGGACTGAGTTTTGCTGATTAATGCTCAAGAAATTACATGAACTTTTTGCTAAGAAAAATGTGCTATATTGATAGAATTTTCAATCTTGTTCAAATGTCAGGCAATCTGCTTGCGGAAATTAGCGTTCTCATCTCTTGACTGCCTGACCTTAATCGCCAACATAAATATCGAACCAACATTTTAAAGTTGAGATTACTCATTTGAATCCAATTGGGAAAGGTGCTTGTGGTAAGGAGAGAAATGTCAAGGAATATAGGGGAGGAGTAAGCTATATTTGTCAGATACGTTGAGCTTTTAAATATGGCAAATTTCCTGTCGGATATGAGTGTCTGGCTGTTTGTGGAGATCAGCTGTGTTGGCCTAGATGTCACAGGTTGATGGGAATTTTTATATTTTATTGCAAAATGTGTGGTTTGGGTGGAACATCTTGTGCTGCTCTGTTCCTGGTTGCTAAGTACCCAGGCTTCACAGCTGTACCTTGCAATAGAAGTTTAATATCTGTTATGTTTACCCTCCTTCCTACAGAGCCACGAGAAATAATTCAAGTAATGAGAAGGAAGGTACGTATTTAAGGTCAAAAGGCACTTTAATCAATCAAAGTTAGAAAGAGGTTGTTGGATGAGCTTCCCAACTGCTCTGAAGTGATACACATCCATTGAAATCAACTGATGTTGAGCAATTAAGACGTTGGCCCGTATTAATATGGCCCTGTGGGAAGCACACTTTTGCTAAGAAGTACCATACTAGGAGGAAAGGGAATGACAGAGAGAGAAGAAACTTTGATTTCAAATTCTCAGTCACTCCCTTTCATAGATCAATGAAGTCTTCAGACCTCTGTAGAAAACTTGCCTTGAAGCTTAAGATGTTGTTATGTAGTAATATTGCATAGTCAGCTATTTTTTTTTAGGGAGGGGAGTCATATCTAGTCGTATTTTTTTATTGAAATGAATTATGCTTTTGGATCTGTGAAAATCCCACAGATTACCTATAATTTATATTCTATTTTCTCTATAAAGAGCTTTTAATTCTTCTGCTTTGATAGGGATTTGGTGTTTGAGAACAAAAATTATCCACCATTTTGATTTCCCATTTATGGGTTTGTGAAGAACATCTTAATTGTGGACAAAATGACACCTTGACATATGAGGGTCTTTGTTGGATGAAATCTTTGCCTTATTTAAGTCAGTAAGTTAAGATACTGTCTTTGACACTCTTCATGTCTAGGAGATTCAAAGAAGTTTGCCTCTTACCTTGACTTGCATGCCTTTCTCTTGTGCTTCCAATAAGTAGAGTCCAGAATGCCATATACAACGCTGGTAAATTGATACCCAGGGCTGGCTCAGGACATTTTACCTTGACCCCACTTATCATCATATTCTTGTGGGTCAAAAGCGGGCAGTGTGTTCCTCCCTTGTGCATCTGCAGGAGCTGCTCTTGCCAGTTGTCCAAATTAAAGTGGAGTGAGTCAGTGGTTTTGGTTTGCTCCAAAATCTGTATAATAAAAGCAAAAACAATTTGTTGTCTTCTTTCTCAAGATAAAACAAGAGAACAAAGGACCTCCTCCCAGTGCAGGATTTGTGAAGAGAACCACAGATTGCCAGAAGGAAAATGCAATTTTCCAAACAGAACAAGGGAATTGTGCCTGATAAGATATTCCTTCAAACGTAACCAGCTTCAAGCAGAGTCAAAAATAAGTGAGATATTTACATTTCAACACATAGATTTCTTTTGTTTTCCTCCATGTTTATTTCTTCTTCACAGGCTCAGCTGAGCAGTTTCTGTTTTTTTTTCTGGTTTGGGGATTTTTTTAGAAAGCCAGCAATGAATTCCCATTCCAGGTTGTTATTAAGCACCTCAGAGGTATGGTCAGCTATGCAGGGAGGCTGTAATCTTTCACTTTATGGGGATATTCAGTCACTTCAAGTAATTTTGGACTTATTTTAAATTACAGAATCATTTAAGATAATGATATATGGCCAGGTAATTTCAGAGAAAGGTAATAATAATGTACATCTGACAACAAGATTCTTAATTTCCTGGTTGGGTTTGCTCCAGTGGAGGTCTATGATTGTTCTATTCAAGCAGGGAGTTAGGGTAAGTGTGCCACCACAGTGTGACTGATTCATTAATTTCTTGCATTTTGAGGGTTTTATTTTCAAGGTAATTGGTATTGTTTAACTTGGAGATGGAGCTGACAGCTGTGTGAATTGATTACTTTATGAGTATGTACCTTGTGTCTGGAACAAAGAACATGTATCACATCTTGAGCGTTCATGTTTGCTTAAGATATGTCCCATTTTTTCACTGCAACTTATTCTTGGATCAGGGATTGACTTGCAGGTTAGTAGTATGATGTCATGAGGAGAAGGTGATGGGGAGGAGAGAGGCATCAGCCCATTCATTTACATTCTGTATGCATGTGCAAAACATAACAATTTTGCAAAAACCGGGCGAGTCTACGATCTAACTCTCTCTTGAGAGGTATCTACAGAATAAAGATAGATATGAGACTGTGAAGGAAAAGGAACAATGACCTGGATCAATCCAAGAACTTTTACCCCCTGTGGACAGCAGCAGTAAGAACAAGAGTGAGCCACAGCACTACTTTGCTTTCAGGTACGGAAGGGACAACACACACAGTGGTGGCAGCCAGGTTTCCTGGCACAAGCTGCCTGCCCAGCCCTGCCTCTCCCTGAGAGCTGTGATCCTTCCAGTCATCCCACTGCAGTCCCTACCTTGCCTCCAATCCCTAACCACTACAGCTGTTGTGTTCCCACCCCAAACCTCATCCGCGTCACTCATCCTTGTCCTCCCAGATTCTCCTTTCATGTGCTCCATCTGTAGGTGCTTCCTGAGATGGTGCCTACTGGTGCTAAGGTGGGACATGAGAGCTGTGCCTCTCACTGGAGCGGTGACTGTGTGGTCCTGGATCTCCTGCAGGATACTCCGCTCCATTTTGGACCTTAATAAATGCTTGGTGGATAATGGGGCAGCACCTGCCCCGTCTGCTTCCTACTAAGCACAAAACCAAGTGGCAGCAGCACAAGGTCTCTGCTTATATCTCGGTGACTTTGTATTTGAGTTTTGAAAGTTAATTGCAAAACATGCTATGTGTGACTTGATTAGAGCCCAAGCTCATGGGTTTTTCCAAAATTCTAAATGAAACCTGCACAAACTTTTGCTCTTAATGAACCTTTGCAAATTCCATCCAGGGGATGCACTCCCTGCATCCCCTGCATGGCCATGCTCGTGTGTGCCACCAATTACAACTCATCATCTTCTTAGATCCTCTATACAAATGCACGTATGCCATACTCTAATCAGCTCTATTTATAACTGAGTGTTTCTTCTTTGTACTTAAATGCTCAAATATGGTAACCAATTGTAATTTGTTAATTCATTCATTAGGCAAAGACTTTTGATGCCTGGAATCACACTTTAGATTTGCTATTTGAAAAAGCAACTGAATATCATTTAGATCTAGAAAGAGGTTGATGTAAAATCATTCTGGTAATCTACCCGCAGGTTGCTCTCCAGTGTTTACTATTCTGTTGATTGATAAATTGAGGCCAGTTGGCAGAATCTTCTGAAAAGAGATGACAAACTGATGAAATTATATAAGCTCCCACTCTATATTTCTGTTTCTTGCAGCTATTCTTGGAGTGAAGGGTTTTATGGGTGCTAATTATATCATTAAAATGTCAAGTATTTGTGTCTTCTCTGAGCAGAACGTTGGAGTCCACGCAAAGTCCTGAATGCATCTTTGGATCCCAGGAACGCGTTGGCAGGTAGGTGTGATCCGCTTTGGAGGCATGTTCGCACACGCTCCTGAAATAAGGAGAGTGGATATTGGGAACAAGGAGAGGATGAGAGAAGGGTGATGCACTCCCTGCATCCCCTGCATGGCCATGCTCGTGTGCGCCACCTTTGCTGGCCAAGCTCATGTGGCCCAAGAGCGTGGGTGCATGCGGGGATGGGAAGTTAGAGGTCTCCCATGTGCCCACAGGATGCAAACACAACGCAAAGCAACAGCTTGAAAGGAGAGACCAGTTTCTGCTCTCCTCTGTTTCTGATGAAATTATTCAGACAAGCTTCTTGTTCTTTTACTGCTTCTAAAATCTGGTGCACAGTAACACCCGGGTATCTTCTGACTGCTGGGACATGCTGCCAAATTCTTAAACTGAGGAAAGCCAAGGCATTTGATGTCTCTAGCCTAAATACTGCTAGATCTTGAGTTAGTCAGCTGTCTTGCAGTCCTCTGCTCTTCAGTCTGATCTAAGCTTTATTGTTGAGAATTAAAGAAAAAAAAGATTTTTCTCCAGAGCCAGCAATGAAGTGGGTCATGAAATGATACCAGCTAGATACCCTGCTGTGGTATTTTGGTAGTCTGAGGGCTGGACCTGTGATTTACAGCCCTGTTCTTGACACAGATACTATCTGCTTTTTCTGTTTTTGGTTTTTTTTTTTTTCTGTTCCTTTTGCAGATCTCTGTTTCTCACTGTATTTGCAGATGTTACCTGTTATTTGTGTAGCTGGAAATACACATGAATAAATGACACATACTGATGTAAGGAGGCTATTCAGAAGGAAGCTATGACCTTCACAGACCCAGATGAATGTGAGGCCCATCTTTCAGATCAGGGAGATGTTTTTGCAAGGTCTCCAGAGCAAAGGACTGGCTCAGAAAGGTGACATGTTCTCTGCTGATACTGGGAGGCTGCACCATTAATCCAGGCGGGGCAGGAAGGGCACCTGCTTTTACAGGTCTGCATTTTGCTTAGTGCTGCTGCGTTGGCTCTGCTGTGGGGACAAGCAGTGCCTTGTGTCCTCCGCACCGAGTGAAGCTTTCCCAGGGGGAACACCAGAAAGGAAGAGGGTTTGGAAATTCTGCAGCCTTACGCATGCTGAGCTGCTCCCCAGCAAGGTGCAGAGGGACCTTGCTCTGAGCGGTGACAGATAGGCGCAAGGGCTGCCTGCTGAGGAGGAAATATTGCCTTGCGTTGATGTTGGCGGTGAGTCATTCTCGCTCGGTCCTCCTCGCTCCCGCGTGGCTCCCGGCCGGCATCGCTCCCAGCTGCGGGCAGCGCTGCTCCGTGCGGTCAGACACCATCTCCCTGCCACGACGTGCGTTTCTGCAAGAACTACGGGCATTGTGCCCGCCCTTGCCTGCCTTCCTGGCTAGCGGGAGTACCAGAGGGTGTGGACCAAACCCACACATTGATGAATGTGTGATGATGCCCTTTTTGAAAGGGAAAAAAAAAATAAGGGAACTAAAGCAAACCTGAGAACTGCCAATCTGGGCCCTGTTTGTTTTCGGCATGTTTTCCAATAGCGTGGTTAAAAAATCCCTCATCAGCAGAAGTCCAGGAGGATCCCTGGGCTCTACCATGGACACCATGTGCCGACCTGGCCAAACCATCACGTCTCCTCAGACTGCTGTCCCCTTTCCAAAAACACAGAAGTAATTCTATACTGTTTCTACACTTTGGCCCTTTGCATCTCTCCAGTTTTTGAACTGTATGAGTGGAGGCAGTGATGTACATTTGGGGGAGCTGGAGCACAAAGTGGTTTCTACTATTCCTATGTTGTTGGGAAATTTTGGAGAAAGAGAGATTATCTTTTAATGTCATGAATGGCACATATACAGTAAATGTGACTGTTATGTACACAACACCCAACTTGTGTGGTATGGCACAAGAAATTCATCTGTTTGACCAAAAGCTACTCCTTTAGAAGTGTTACATACCTTTTTTGGGAGAAAAAAAAAAATAGACAAAATAACTACATTCATACTCTGCAGTGCCACTGGCATTCTCTATGTAAGGAGACTTTTTATTTTCATTATCCTTCTATGGAGGCTTAAATTATGCCGAGTTATTCAATAAAAGCCACAAAATTGCTTTTTATGCAATTACTCAGTGTGTTCCATTATGTGACAGCTGCACAACCACATTATCTCCCCTTCATCTGTAACTTTCTGCTACTTTTGCCCACTAAGTGTCTGAGAAGGTACAAGGAGATTAAAATACTCCAGCGGACTCATTTGGGGCTGCTGTTTCCCAGGGAAAAATCCATCAGCTTTCCGTGCAGTCCAAAGAGGCTTGTTTGTTAGGACAAATAGTGTGGGTGTGACACGTTGCCTGAAATGGGGTGGTTTGATGCTCCCTGCTTCCGCGATTTCTGAGCATCTGATCGCTGCTTTGATTTACCAGGCTCTGATGCCTTCAAACCAGTCTGCGGGGAAGGCAGTTCCGCTGGGAATTGCGGAGCCTTCTCTCTCTGCAAATTCCCTGTCATCTTGGCTAAGTCACCAAAAGCTTCGCACTCAGAAGGACCTTGAGGCTGTTAAGCAGACCGTGGATCTCCTCGTGAGTGAGTGTCCAGCATTCTGGTACCCAAAACAGCATGGTGATAGAGCCAGGCCTTCTGAGACCATGAAGCCTTGGGCTAAGCGCTCGATGGATTTGACAGAGTGCTTTAAGTCGTGAAGTTGGCAGTTGCTTCCTCGTCTTCTTGTGCCCCTCTTGTCTCTGGCAGATCAGACTCCTTGATCTCTCTGAGCCTCAGTTCCCATCTGCAAAAGGAAAAACCAGCATTTCTCTATCCTAGCTGGGTACTATGAGCAAAAATATGGTAAAAAACATGAAGCGCTCCAATCCTATGGTAATGGAGGCTGTATAATGAAGGTGGGCAGATTCCCAAGAAAACTTTTTGCTTCACCTATTTCATTGTAGTTTTGAAAATTTAGTGACATTGTGCCAAGACTTGGGTGGCATAAAACAGCACTTTCGATGATTCTTTGAGAATCAGGGTAGTTAAAAGTTTTGCAGGGACTTCGTTGGTGTGACCCTGCCAGACTTGGGGGATGCTGGAGCAGATCTCCTGTGTGCCCCTGGGACACGGCCTTACAAGAGCAGATCCTAAAAGCCTATTTTTACACCCCAGGGCTCAGCAAGATGCTCTGACATAAACTCTCTGCTTTGGGTCAAGAGGAGCTCATGGTTTTATTAGCTCTTGAAAAGCTTACAGAAGGGAGAAAATAAAAGGGCTGAACATTTAAATACCTCTGAAAATACAATATTCTAAGGTATATCAAAGCTTTCTTTAAGGAAGAGATTACTCTTACATTCCATGTCTATGCGTGGACTTTTTTTCAACATAAAACCTATTAAAGGGCTCATTGTGTAGAACTGGCTGAAAGAACGGCTTAAGGATGAGCAGCAGACACAAGCATGAAAAGGCAGAGGAGAAGGGCCCCCAGCAGGGCTCTGTGAAGCGTGGCTCAGCACTGCAGTGCTGAGGGCATTGCAGCGCCCCAGAGCAAAGCTCTTTGGGCTTTGCTTCCACCTTCCAGCAAGGAAGGGTTTCTGTCTCGGAGCTGTCGGCAGCCTGGCCAGAGAGCCCTGGGCAGTGGAGAGGGGATCTCTGGTGCTCCAGGCTCTGGGAATGCTGCAGGAGCACATCGGAGCATTGGAGCAGTCGAGAAGGGCTCTGGAGCAGTTCAGAGCAGCACACTGGCTGAAATTTCTCCAGCGTTCATTTCACTTCTGGAAAAATCATGATATAAAAATAGGTTTGCCTCAATACATTGATTAGATCGACTTTTCTTTTTGGGTTTGCTTGCTGACATCATGTGCTATGTTTTAAGTTAGGAAACCTCATTTGGTGGCAACAAATAGGAGGTTAAGAGAGCCAAGGCTGTATTACACCATGATAAAGACAAGTGTGAGATCACATCTTTGATGAATTTCCATTGAGGGAAAAAGAAGAGTTCTCAGTAGAATGCAATTGGAACAAAGCACCGAGAATAGATACGGTTGTCAGCTGGCATGTGCAGCTTTCCCAATCCCTGCACCTGGGGAGCACATGGACACCCACAGGGAGAGGCCAGGCTCAAAGGCCGCTCCGATTCCATGGGTTCCTCACACCTGCATGGAGCTGGCTGCACACATGCCAGCCTGCAGTGCCTGGGCATGGGGCACCGCACACTCTTGTGCATTTTACCCCACTGCTTGCATTCTTATTCTCTTTGGGCTTTGCATCAAAAATACTCTTGATTTTGAAGCTGTATCCACTTGAAGGTAAAGGAGACATTACAGTTAACATCCAGCATGTTGGATTTTTTCATGAGCCTTTTATATGTAATTACTCACACGCCCATGAGGGTACACTTATATGTGTGTCAGAAGTGCTTTCAGATTCCATTATTTAATTCAGGAATTATCCTCCGAAAAATTTAGATTCATGTCTTCGTATTAGGAGAAAACAGACTTCATAAGTTCAAGCCTTTGGTATAACCAAGTTTCAAAATGTCTTCCAGATCAAACATATCCAATAAATCATTTAGTGATGCCTGTGGTTCTTCGATCGGATGCTGCATGGACCAGAGTTCAGTCAGAGGCATAAACAAATGCTTACTCATCTTAGAGCAGTAAAAGTTTGTCCCCGCATAAAAGATGGAAAATATTAAAATCCAATGCCAAAATAGCAAAGAATAAAATGCAAAACCAACACAGCAAACAAAAACCAGAAGTGTTTTCGTGCCTAATTATATTTATTTGCTCTAACAAAACTGCTAGGATTCTGCAACTCATAGCGATAAAAATATTTTTTCCCACTGAGCGAGGCAATGAATTAGTGGGCCCTGCTCCCTGCAAGCCAGGTTTGCAAATCCGGGCTGGAAATCAGCAGTCAGATCCGTCCCGGTGCTGGGCGGAGGAGGGGGCTTGGAGATGCAGGTAGCTGGGCTCTTGCTGCAGAGGATTATCCCGCAGAGAGCAGAGCTGGTAATGAAAAACCTGGCAGGGTTTGGAGGAGAGGAGAGCAGGTTTGCAAGTGAGTCAGCGCGCGGGGCGCTCCTGGCGCGGGGGGTTTGTGACAGCATGAGTCAGAGAATGGGAAGATAAAGTCACAGGCTTTTCAAGTTGGCAAACGTATTTAGGCCCGTCTTAATACTTTTATGGACCAGCATGCTGACAGCAGTACCTGCCTCCAAGTACCAACAGCTCCCTGGGCTTAGATGCACCAGAGTGGGACCTCAACAGATTAATATAATTTATGATGTTGCTAGAAAGTGGAAACTCAGAAGCACTGGGAAGTAACCAGAATATTCTCTCCCCATGAAGCTCACAGCAGTATTTTCAGCATCCTGAACTTGTTTCTTTTTTGCTTAGGCAAAATGGCTCTGGAGCCCCTCATTGCGATGCTCCAGATCACCTCCCCTTGCCACCTTCTCACCAGCTCCTGCTGTCCCTCCCTGCAGTGCCCATGGTGGCACGTGCCAGGATCCATCAACAAGAGGCTTTATTTCACAGTGGTGCCCGGCACTTTTCCAGCACAGCAGCTTGCTCCCTGCCCCACAGCTCAGCTCTCCTATGGGTGCTCCTCTCAGCTCCACCCTCCTGTCAGGGACAGGGCCCTGGCAGATGAGCCACGCGGAGGGGCTGAGGCTCCTCGTTAACCCCCTGGCTTCTTTCACTGCTGCTCTGCTCCCGTTGCTAAGGAAGGTTTCTATGGAGAAGGCCCACCAAAAAAGTAGAGATTGGAGAGAGTCGATGTTCAAAACAGATGAGCTTGATGCTGTCAGCAACAGGCTCCTTCAGGGGAAGGCAGGCTGCAGGAAGAGGAGCCCGCACTCCAGACGTGCTGCCCACCATGAGCTTTGCTAGGTGGCCTTGATTTAACTTTGCTCATCTGTGGGAAACTTAA